ATTTTGAAGAGCGCATTCGGAAAGAAGAGAGTCTGTTCTACAAACATCACATATCGGTTTCTTTGAGAAAAGCGTAGTGATCTCACAAGGACCCGAACATTTCATGCATATAGAGTGAATCTATAATTTTGCACACTACTGTAAGTGCGGAACTGAAAGACGAAAGAAAATATAGGTAAGTATGACACACATATATAATTTCTTTTTTATTTGTTCTGTCTTAATCTTTTTTCTGAATAAATTCTGAGGTTTTCCAATTTGAAAGATCATTTTATTATTTTTTTCAAATGTTTTTCTTTCTTTTTATTATTTTTCTGCTTTATTATCAACGAATAAGATGTATGTGAACAATAAGAAAAAACATTACACTTCTCTGTTGATCATTATCACTCAACCATGCAAAATCTGACATTACATCATTGTTGAACATCAAACGTAGCATGGATAAAAGAGAAATATTTTAATTTGAAAGCAATTAATAAGAGAACCATTATCAATGTTTTCTTACGAAAACTTTTCTGAAAAAAACGTTTGAAGTAGTGAAGAATTTTTTTTTTGATGAACTTGGAAAAAGTGCTAAAAGTTTCTGAATTGAACTTGGAGATTTTCTTCATAAAACCTTTTTTTAGATAAAAATATGACGACATCATTCTTTATAATGTTACTATATTACTTCTTTAAAAATTTTTGCTCGATTTACTAACGTAACTTTAACCAGTGGTGACACAGTCATGTTTTTCTTTTCAATATGAATCGTGATTATCAAATCTCAATTCACTTCATTTTATGCGTGTTTTTTTAACAGTAAATATTTCTTTCGTTGTCTATACATGAGAATTTCAGCATCTGACACGCATAATTGATCTTCAATAAATGAAAAATGTTCATGAATGTATTCACATGATCAAGATTAATTATCAAATAATATTAAATTGCATACAATAGTACATTATTCTTGGTTAAAGCTCGGCTCTCTAGACTCAGGTTTGATATGTATAACTTGTACTTAATCTTCTTCATATGGCAATATATTTTTTACAGTTGTGTTGCAGTTTAAAATGTTAAACTTGTGGATCGATTCTTCATGAAGTAAATGCCTGGTTAGCAACTATCATTGTTTGCATCGCATGCCATATTCGAATTTTAAGAAACAAAGATGTAGAACGTGTTCGAAACATTTGCGGACATTGATAGAAAAAATGAAAACGCTTTTAATTTAGCGTGATAAGTACATCTAAATACTTATCACTTTATTCATTCACCTGCGTTAGTGCTCATTTATCTACGGAGAAAACTCGTGTTCAAAAGTCTTATCTTTTTGTGCGATCATTCTCTTTCTATTAGTATGACATTTTTTGACACTGGTACATCAACACAGAATAACAATAGACATGGACCGATAGACGTACGTCAGGGAGGATAAATTTTTCTAAATATTTATCCTTCACACGAAAATATCATACCTTACGTTTGGTTGGGTCAACTCGTTGATCACTAAATGCACTTACAGTTTGACGTCGATTTATTTCCTACAAGCAAGAGAAACAAATAAGAACTAATCAGTTTGGTAGAAGAAATATTTGTACGTAAACTTATCTCTACTGCTCATCTCTATAAGGTAGACTTAGAATGAGAGAATGTTTTAACCTGTATACCACGTCTGTTTTTTTTCATGAATTGAAGCCAAATCAGACGTTTATTTTTGTATGTAGTTAACACAGTAGACTGTTCAAAGAAAATAACAGAAAATTCTTCAGAAGAATTGCGGGTTATATATGGAATTAGGAAAGAAAACATTAAATAGTCTCGCAGATCTCAACTGTTCTGAAACATTCAGAATTAAACTAAAAGTAGTATGATTTAAAGAATACTACTTACTGATTCATATTTGTCTGACTGTGGCATTGTATCATATAAATTGTCCGTTTCTCTGAAATAAGATTAAAACAGTGAAGTCTATTATAAATATGTAAACAATAAGAGTGATGGGCTTTGTAAATTAAGAGTTTACACGTATAAGTATGCTTCTAGATTAAAACGGGGGAGTTTTTGCATTATATTTTATGTTCTTATAGTTCTATTTTCTTGTTTAAAACTTTTAGAAAAAGTAGATAGATATCTACCTGTTATTGTTTGTACCAACGTACGCTTTGTCAATGTAAAACATTATGACAACACAACAGCAGTGTAAAAAATAAATAATTGTTACTTTTCTATATTGAATCAAAACAAAGTCGAGCAGTGATGATGATATTATATACTTAACAACGCATAATACAGAATAAAAATACTAACTGATAAGGAGAAATGAAAACGTGTTGAGAATATCAAAAAATAATTAAATCTGTTTCTTCTTTAAACGCTTATTTGTTGCCGTTTCTTAAAATTACAGCATCTGTTCTCCCCCACAAGCGACCGTAATTTTCTTGACTCATGAAAATATGGAAAGTATCACAAGTACAAGTATACTTGTACATCTATAGGTGTGGTGGAAAAGTATTATTTATGAAAATCAATTGGCCGGCTAATAATTAATGTGCGAGTTCACGAAGTTCAAAAGTTCTTATGATTACAAATATTATCCTTCACTTTCACTTGTAACTTGGATTTTAAAGACATTTTACACACATACGATATGAAAATGGTAACGTTTCATACTTACTTTTGTTGTTTATGTTTTTTTCTGAACATATGGGGGAATACTGGTAGATGTAACGTTGGTGTTGAGTTTCGTCGGTCTTCAGTTAAATGCGAAAATTTATCATGTAAATTTATTTTTTTAACATCACTACTTCGTCTATGGTCGGGTATCATTGTTGAATTGTTACCCGCACCTGGTGGTTTAATGAGTTCGTTTAGTGTATCCGTTTCTTCCAATTCGGCACCGGATATTGTACGAGCACGAGACAACGTCTTTGTTGCCGATGTTATAGGCTTTTGAGGTAGAGGAGGAGATAAAACACGTGGAGATATCGTGGATGATACTCGTTGTTGAAGCTTAGGTGGTTGATTAAACTGAAAAACGTTGTTAGAGTCTAACGGCATAGTTGGGGAATGATATGAATGTCGATCACTAAAAAGATAATAGGAAATCGATAAGATTATTTGGTTTTAGTGTAAGGTGCGATCTAAAATCCCCGAACTGATAATTCCTTACGTCTACTCATTTCTTTCGCAGAGATGAATTGACTAAGGCAAACAGTCTCAGGCTTTTTTGGTCCCGACAACTCGTTTCAGTCAATTGTCTTTGCGCTTTTTGGTGCAGAAAATTAGTCTCATACAATTTATCTTATATCATTTGATATGCGATAATTTGTCTCTTTACCATTTCATCTCATCTGTATAATTTCACTGTCAGACAAATTTCTATGGAAGATATGAAATAATGGAGAGAGATTTTTCATCAGACTATAGACAAAAAACAAAAAAAGACTGTAGACAAAAGACTAAAAACTTGTTCAGGTGACTATAATTATCTATCAATAAGACAGATTTTATGCACTTAAAATGCATAATTCAAATTTCATTCACTATGAAAACATGAATATTTCTGAAGCAACTACAACTGAAATATTTCATTATGAATGAACATGTCGCCATGCTGGAAGTAGTTATTCAATGTAGATTTCAAATTATTAGCAACGAGCAGAAATCATCACACATCGAAATTAGAAATAATCATTATTATGTCGACAAACATGTGTTTTTTGTGCAAAAAATGTTTTTTTTTCTTTGGTCGCTGTTTTGTGTAAAATGTGCGCCTCACGATCTAGAGAACCACGCTACTCAGAAAAGTTCGGAAAACGGGATATTGTTCTTGATATACTCGAGATTAACCAATGCTTGTTCATTTTTCGAGCAGTGGTCCACATTCTGCGCCCTAAGATGAAAGAAGTTAACAGAAAGTGTATTTTGGATTTAGAATTTTTTCATACATTTTGTTGACGACGTCATTTTTTAAGGAAAACTTTGAGAACAAAATAAGTTGTTTATTTCTTTGTCGAGAAAAGAATTTTCGTTAGTGAGGGAGAGACAAGAAGAAATTAAGAAGAAAAAGAAGATTCGTTGGTCAAAATAAGAAGAAATACAGAAGAAGACAAAAATTATTGATAACTGAGATTGTTAGGAATATTAGAAAAAAGAAAGCAGAGGGAAGGTAAATTCACTACCATAAATTTATAAGATATCTCTTTTAGGTATCTGATGAAGAAGAAACAATAGCTTAGCCTTACTTATACGAAGATTTAATGTGTCTTTCTTCTAGGTCTACACCTAAGACAGATTTTACTCTGGTACCTGTACACTGCCGTCTATTGTGTTGCAAAGAGTTATTATGAACTCTTCTACTGTTGCAGCGCTTTTTGTCATTATTCAGCACATACAAAGTCTATCGACATAGCAACTTGTGCAAAGCACAATTCCATTCTAGTTTGTTACTTTATAATTTGTACAAGGTAATACTCAGCTGCAATTTGTTTGACCCTTGACTTTAACACCTTATATTTATATAGGCCCACTATCAAAAAATCAATAATAAAAGTCAATCAAAAACTTCGAATATGTATATTAGATTTTTTCAGAACGAAGAAATATGTTTGCGATTGTGTTTTTTGTATAGTAAAAGATGACGGATACAATACATGTAAGAGTATCTTTCTGTTTGATCATGATGAAGAGGGTTGAAAAGAATGTTAAGTAAGTAGAAAAAGACATCGATTTCGTCTCCTCATCTCTTATAATTCTTCCTAAAAAGTTTGATTTTATTCCTCATGTTTCCGTGCTAAAAATATTTTGTGTTTTTCTTTTTTGGGTGAAAGACTCTTAATATTCGATATTACCTATTATTCATGATAAGCAGATTAAAAGAAAGATAACGAAAAAACTAATACGTAACTACGAGTATAGTACAAATGAAGCTACAATGTTAGAATAACGTTTTATCCAAGTGATAGCCTTTTTTATTCTTGCATTTTCTAGAAAAAAAGGTCTTCATGCAAGTTTCTACTGATGATACATCAGTTATGCAGTTGTCAAAATAAAGATGTGCGTATATATGAGACACATAGACGGAAACCTGTGTATGAAAAGTTTTACAAACCACATCAATTTTTATATAGTACTACTGATAGAAACTCTAGAAGTTCACTTCAAACTCTCACAAGAAAACTGAGTGACGGTTACAATAGATTCTTCATGGTTCTCTTATAGGTAACTTTTCAACTGTTGGTGACGTTTTGATTCCTAAGACATCCACCTATCCATCTGTCATGTAGCGTTTCATATCATCGGTGATATTGTTTTACATTTTATTCACAGATAGCAACTCGCTTGTATGATTTTGGACTAAAGCCAAGGGAACAAGAAATTAAACTTAATGAGCTAAACAAACAGTTTATAATCTCGTGGTGAATATATCTTGATAAGAGTTTATTAGAAAATGAGAGTGATTATCTAGATTTTGAATTACATCGCCTTAATAATAACCGCGTCCTCCTAATTACTAGTGCATGAGAGATAAGCTTCATGCTTACTACCTTTTGTCTTAGCTTCAGTGAAAATATGATACATGCTTTTTCAATAAAAAATCTTTTCCTATTGTAAAAATGAAGTGTGAACTACAAGTTACCTGGAAAACCAACAGTAAAAATTTTGTATCTTCCCGCTTTACTATTCATTGAACATTATTAAGTCATCGCTGGTTACGGATAACAATTATTCGAAGCTTCTCAAAAGAGATACAAAATCATTCGAAATGACTTTGTAAGATCAAACAATGTTAGAGAGGACATAAAAAACTGATTATGAGATTGTAAAAAAAGGTATCTCTTTTGAGATGTAACCCAATTATCTCTCTTTTGCTCTCAAATATGTTGTAAATCTAAGATTTTACCTCTTCATTATAAAATCGATTTATTCCACTTTAATACTTAAATACCAATGTTAAATATTTCATATTTTCTAAAATTATAAAGCGAGAATGAACATTTTTTTCTTATTATACACGTTTATGTACTGCATGTGGAAAAAATATTATTTTTCATTTTCTTTGTGTCTTTCTCTCTCATTTGTCATTCTATAGTGATCACATTTATTAACTTGACATTTTTATTTTTCTCTAATTTTTTTGATTACCACTCGTCCTTTTTTTTACAAGTTCGAAAGAAAAACAAAACAAAGTGCAAAAGTACACCAATGACTTACAAATAGAATAGAAAGGTAACTAGTCGTGGACGGTTGTTTTTCACACATAATTCGTAATATTATAGTATAATTATTGTTATTGATCAAGTACGAGAGAATAACGATGATTTTTTTCTTTTTATTGCGACGTAGTAATATGACTAGATGCATATCTTAAGATAAAGTAAACTCATTTTTTGCATGTCCAGTTTATTAATTTAATTTTCTACACAAATAGACACACATACACGTACTAATCAATTCATTAAGAAGAAAAGAAGTATAATAGTGTCTCTCTCTTTTTCATGATTATCAAACGCGTCATAAATACGAAAAATGTATATAGACGATACTACGTTTACGTATCTGTCTCGTATTTCGCTTTAGTATAGAAGATAAAGTTGAAAACAATCTGTAGGTTATTCCCATTACATTTATACTCTAACTGGAATGAGATATAGTTTTAATGTTAATTAATTAAATTACATAACACTACTACCTTCATTTATTTAAAAAAAACGAATGAATAATTGATTATTGAGTAATATGGTATGACGATGATTGTCTCTTTTGTGATCAAGAATCGTTAATTATTACTACTAACGCCATCATTTTTAGTCGAAGAGAGACGACTGTATTAGGTTAATCAATTTAAATAATGATTCTACTTTGTAGAACAATAAAAGAAAAATCTATAACTTTTTATAACGAAGATAAATTGTTCTTATATTATCGCACTCTACAATGAAATAATTTGCTCATACAACAAAACTTGTTCTGTTTTATTCTATCTTTGTTATGATAACATCATTCGTATATTTTCTAAAGGTCACAAATTGTAGCCAATTTTCTAAGACCACTGACTGACTTTTTGCTTCTATAGATTATTTATTATCGTTCCCACTTCTAGGAGTGTATCGTCCTGTAGAGTGAACTGGATGTACTGGCAATGATCCCCATTTGATAATTCAAAAATTTTTATTTTGTTTTAACAAAAGATAAAGTAAAAGACTTTAATACTATCTTTCTGATAGTTTTGAGATCCATTGACTCTCATCCAAAAATCTGAAGGTCATCTTATTCCTGACCGCTCCATCTAATAGTTCTACCAAAAATGAAACTTTACAAATATACATCATACCATGTTGTATTACTCTAGGATCGTTACCCAAATATGGTATTGGAAAACTTACATTGACAACTTAACTGTTCAAAATAATGTCTATTTGTTTACGGAAAAAATGGAAAAGCAATTTTAAAAACCCTGGATGACATAGTTCTCGGCTCTCTTAAAATATTGTTTTACGTTAAAAAATACTAATGAACACTAGCTTTGTTTCAATTATATTTGTGAAAAATATTTGTTTTCATACTTTTCTAAAGCAAATAATAATCAATATCAATAAACTTACATCTGTGTGTGTGTTGTTTTTCCCTCCAAACTAAAAACAATTAAGACAGTAAAATAGTGTTACTGTTTAAATAAAATGACACATTATTTTTAACTAAATCATATTTACTTGATTTTACTAATATTTTCTAAGATATGACCTATACGGTTCATTTTCTTTGTCTTTGTTTTCTAATTTCCTTGAAATAAATAGTTCTTTTTTCAATTATACTTATTCTTTTTTTCTTCTTTATTTTCAAGTTATTTTTATACAATATATCTATTCTAAGTTTTCTTTCTTTTCTTATATTGTGCTATGCGAAGGCGATTAATTGAGATCTTTTAGTTATTTTTATTTAGTGCATTCAAAACTTTTTTTTGGTAGTATAATATAAGATGCACCCAGGGCAGAGAAATATACGTGCATCAATAACTTTTGATTCAAATATATAGCTAAGGGTTCCAAATCATAAAT